GCATGGCATGAAACGGAGCAGAAAGGCTGGCAATTTTCTGCCTATCACAAACAATTTTCTCATCTCCAATTTTAAAAGAGACACTTCTTAAAATATGTTTTCCATTCATCATCGAAAGTGTTTCATGGGAACCTGAACTTATATCAACATCAAGCTCGGAGGAAACATCTACTGGGCCAGACTCTTGTGCGCATTTACCACAAGTGGCAAGCAAGTCTGAAATGAGCTCCTCCCCTTGTCTCTCATACTTTAACCATGCTCCAAATACAAGCTTCTCATGCACAGTGCTGCCCTTCAGCCAAGCAGAACGGAGGCTTCTTCGCATCAATTTGGCTTCACCAAGGCCTTTAAACAGTTGATACTGAAATAAATAGAGATTCGACCTCTCTTGCGGAGGGCATGATTCAAGTTCTTCATGAATCTGAGCTAAAACTTCTACATAATCAACAGGTTTAAAGAATGGTTGCACTGGTGGTTCTGGGACCTTGATAAGTGATTCTCTAATTAACCCAACAAGAAAACAAAATCTCAATCTATTGAAATCAAATATAAATTTGTTTAACATTTTTCATTAATAGAAACCACAACAGATGTAAAAAACACTTACATGGATGAAGAAGAAGACGACCGTGAAGAGAATTTCGAAAGCTTCCCTCTTTCAACTTGAAGCCATGACTGAGGATTTAAGAAGTCGAGTTGTGATTCTTTACAGGAATCAGAGGTAAAGGAAGCCCTCATGGGGCATAAGAGATTAAACAAGTCCCAGATCTCCACAGTAGTCAGATTAGTCCTCACTCTTTCAATTCTTTCCTCTCTCTCCCCTCTTCCGCCCCAGCTGAAATGAACCTAAAATTTGGCAGCACAGAGCAAACAAATACAAAGCCTAAACTGTTGCTTGTGATCACACATCACAACACTTAGCTGATAAATCTTCCAACCCCACAAAACAACAACTCTTATCTAAAGAACACTTCTCATAAATACAAACAACAGGCAAACAATCGTGTGCAAAAGGTGTCACTGAATAAGTAAATACAAACCATGAAAAAAGGGAGCTTTTAAGGCAGTCAGAATCTTGCAGATCCCTCTTGGGTTGACTCAAATTGACAGTTATGGAAAGCCAATAACTTGTAGTCTTGAATTACACGACAAAAATCTTCAGTCACCTTCGAAAACAATTTGAAATAGCAAAGTGAAAGAAAGCAGCAAAGACCAAAGACCCACCCCACCAACAGCTACCTCAAGAACTCTACCAGAAAAAGGCAAACCAAACCAAACCCACCTTTTATCCTTTCAAAACAAACCCAAAATGAAAAGTAAAAATAGCAAATAAATAGTAGTAGATAATAGAACGAGAAGGGGAGAGCGACCCAGTTGAGTTTAGTTTGAAGAGGGAACCAGAGATTGAGAAAAAACAAAACCTGAGGAAGTTGCAGAGTGATCAAAGTGAAGGAATCCAAAGGGAAAAATTCTAAATTCCCGCTTTTGATAGCTCTCTTTTGTTTGGTTAAAGGGAAAGTTTTTTCCTTTTTTCTACTTTTTTTTTCTCTCCCTCTTTCTAAATTTTGTTGTCGTTGGAGACTGGAGAGAAAAAGAAAGAAAAGGAGAGGAACAGTAGAGAAATATTTGTAGTTTGGTTGGACTTCGAGGCACAAAAACTAACGGGAAAATCTAAGAATCCAGAAAACATAATTGCGTGGAAGCGAGGGTAAAATCGTGATATACTAGCTGAGAGTGAACCGACGTCGTATCGTAAAGGAAATATTATTACTATTAGTATTATTATTGTGAGGACTGTGAAGCGAGAAAGGCATGCTGCTAGAAAACAAAATCCTTGGCATCTTGTAGATGGGATTGTTCTGTGATTGTGGGGTCCTTTTGAATTTATTGGGATTAAGTTATGGTAAGTAGAGATTAAGTAGAGACAGAGAGGAAATATTCTCTGAGGTAATGACACTGGACCAAAGAACGAGTATTCATTCTATCATGATGATATCCTCTAGCCTTATGATTCAAAATGCTGCTAAGGCAGCCAGCATTCCCGGCTTCATTAAATCCTCATATTACCACTAGATTGTTGGCACGCGTCTGGTTGCTAGCGGATCCTAATCTTTTCTACTGTAAATAATAATAATAATAATCATAAGGCTGCGCGGCCGTTTCCGAATAAATAAAAAATGACACCCCTTCACTTAGTTAAATAAATTTGTATAATTTTGATAATATAAAAAAATCAATAATAACAATAAATAATAATAGGTAAAAATTGACAAGAAAAAAAGTTAATATATATATACAATTGACATCTCAAACTTTTCACATGGTATTAAAATAACTTTATAAAATCTAAATTAAATAAAATAAAAATTTAATTATTAAATAATTTAATATTAAAAATTAAAACTAAAAAAATAAAAAAAATCTAAATCAATATTTATCTTTTAGCCATGCTATCTTAGATATAAAATTGGGATAACTTCACAAATATAAAAATATAAAAAATAATTTTTAATAAATTAAATTTTAAAAGATAAGATTGAAAAACATTAAATTTAAAAAGAGTATGGAAGTTATTTGTATTAATTTATAAATCTTGTGATTTTTATTATGAATTAATTTTATAAAAAACAAATTCTAAAAAAAAAGTAGAATTATAGGCTATAAAACATTAAAAGAAAAAGATTTAAATAAAACAGAAACTAAATTGTAGAGAAAAAAAAAAGAAGTAAAAAACTAAAAAAAAATAGAAATTAAATGAATAAAAACTAGTTGGATGTAAAAAACAAATAACAGCACAGTTTTGTGTTTGCCAGAGATAAGAAAAAAATCAACCGACACCATAATGCCAATCCATTATGGATACGCGCCCCTACATCATGAGTATCTATCTCAATGCGCCGCCCCTCACAACGCCGGAGGAGGCCCTCACATCGTAAAAACCATTATTTTAATATTTTGCACACAAAAATAAATGGCAAGACATGCAGAAGATACAGAACAATAAATACATCTCTCCACCATCAATGGCCAGCAGAGGATGTAGCTACAGCACAATACAGTTGTCTATAGCTAGCTACTTGTGAACGCACGTTTGAGCGGCCTCCATTGAACAATCCCATTGCAACTAATAAATAATCAGCACCACATGCTCCTCCTTGCTGTGCAATCAGCACCAGCAAATGCGCAGCGTTTACGCCTCTTTAAAAAAAAAGAGAAGAAAAATCTTCATAATATTTAAGTTAGATAACAGCAGTGTCCCTCCCTCTCTTGCTGGTATTAGACCGTCGAGTGCCTTCTGCCTAACTCCAGTCGTGCTCCGAGGCTTGTGGGTTCACCGGGGAGCATTCGAGTCCAGGTCTTCTGTACAATATCCACTCTTGCTTTTGTTTTTTTCTACAGTGGGGTTTCCCTCTCGTGAGATTGTGAAAGTGATGACGTATTTTAATCATAATTTACTCAAAGCAAAACGATTTTAGCTTAAAAATAAAAACCGAGAAGAGCTACAAGCTTCGCTACCTTATCTTCGATGCAACTTCTGCGGTTTGTATTGTGTTTTTTTTTTAATATATATATATATAATATTTTTTATTAAAGTTTTAATACAAAAACATCAAAACAATACTAAAATAAAAAAAAAATTATTTAAAAAGGCACAATTTAACTACGAAAATAAACACTGAACAATCAAACCATACAGTGATGATGCCTGGAATTCCACCTGATGATGGGAGAGACAAAAGGGTGTGAAATATCAAATGGATGGCCTTTAAACACAAACAAACACACCCTAGTGAGGAGAGGGACTGTAGTGGGTTGGTAAGGAAATGACGCGCACAAAAAATTCAAAATGCTAATAACACCACCAATGGGACAGCTTTTAAGGAAAATAATTGACCCACACCATTTATGACAGCTAGGCACTGTCTGGAAGTGCATTTGACCATATCTTTATTTTAAAAAAATTAAATTAATAACTTTTTACTTATTTTGACGAGCAATAAAAGAAATACTCTAATATATTCTAAACAATAAAACATTCTAAAAAATAGCCCCTTTCACCCCCACCAAACATGAACATGAACGAAATGACGCTGTTACTGCTGAGCGTCACGCGTCTGGAAGTGTTAAGCAGGGAAAAAAGAGACCAGGAATCCATGGAAAAAGGGCTAAAAGCCAGGGTGCAGGAATATGAAATTGTTGTGGGGCATCATCACCGAGGAATTACCCTGGATTTTCCACCGTGGTTGAAATTTAGACAAGGGAAGTGCGTGGTGGGTTCAGATTCGCCGGCCTTTAGTGATCTCAGCTAGGACGGACGCGGACGCCAGCAAACATCCAAAAGTCTATATCGTTTTCAATCACAAGGCCATACTGTCGCCAATCTAATTACGTTTGTTGAACATCAGACACCTTTCACTTACTCTAATGCCCTGCCTCCGTGTCATTCACAGGTCCGATGCAGAGCCACTCAAAATCTTACTTCAAGATTATCTGGGCAGACCTGATGTCTCAGTTTCGTGCCTCCCTTCATGGCTCTAAAGCCAATGCTTTCATGGATGCAGAGTGTATTGGGTAGGTTTTATGGTTGTGATTTAAAAATAATAAGTTAAAAAAATATATAATGCATAAAAATTATAATTGAAATTTATATATAATAAATACAAGCATAAAATATTTAGTAGTAATTTTTATTTGAAAATATATTAAAATAATATTTTTTATTTTTTAAAAATTATTTTTAACATTGATCCATCAAAATAATATAAAAACATTAAAAATATATTAATTTAAAATAAATAAATAAATTCAATTTTTTCAAAAAAACCAAACACAAACAAACAAAATTTTACAAAATTCTATTAAGAAATAATATAAAAACATCATTTTAAACTTAATTTTTAAACAAACCCTACAATGCAAAATATTTTGATATTTCACGGCAATCACAAAAACCAATAAGATAAAAAACAGAGGCAGCCGTAATCTAATTATCAGGACCAGATTGAGATTCGTGGGTATCATTTCATATTTCATGTCATGTATCTTGTCAGATCTCATGGTGTCTGCTTATCTAGACTTGCAGGCTTATACACAGCAACTAATCCCCTGTTATTTTGATATATTTTTATGTGAAAAATAATTTTAAAAACTTCTTCCATAGTCTAATCCTAAACACTCCCTCACGCAACCACACTATCGTTGCCCTTCTTCAACCACATGATCGTTTAACATAGAGAGGGATACACGCAAAGGGTGGAGAGGTGTTGATAGATCTTCACTTCGAATTTGTTTCCTCATTAATAACTTAAAAATGGCCGCAACTACTACAACAAACTTTATACCTTACAGTACAAACTCTTCCAAGTGAGCTAAACTCTACTGCCTTGATTAATATCAAAATGGGTCGCGCTGCATAACACATTCATCCTCCACACATTCAGATTTCCGGGGCATCTGCAACGCCAAGATCAGAAATCATGAGTCAAATAGTTTATGAATCAATCTCAGTGCAATTATTTCACATTAAGAATGCACTATAAAAAAAAAAAATCAATTATCCATAGTGTAATGCCAGTCCAAGAAAAAGAATTGTGCGTCCAAGCTTTCACAATTCTTTCTTGTTTGTCGGTTAACATGTATTTTCAATAACATTCAACAATGTGCTGCACTCTTCCATTCTGCACTTTCAGTAAAGAACCACAAGCTGAACTGCAATAAACGCTTTTGTGCATATCCTGGAATAAGACGTCATAGTTAACAAAGGGCATTTTTTGAGATTACTCGAGTGAAGTTACAGTGAGATTGTTCAAAACAGACTCTGCATCAAGCATGATATCTCCCCAGAAGAATTTCACATCTTTGAATGAAAAGATAACATAACAGGAGTGACCTAATAATTTAACAGGAACTGTGCACGTCATATTTTCATAAAGTTTTGATTGGCAGTGCAGTTTCAGACTGGTAATCAGAACACGGCAGAGAACATTTGCTGTTCAACACAAAGAGTCGAGGGAGATATTTATGTTTCATATGACATTTTTTGTTATGTTTCCTGTTGATACGATTTTTGTATTTTCAAAAAAAAAAAAAAAAACTGATCTTCAATATTCCAAGCATAAGCACCATGTACTAACTCCATTTGGAACTAATATCAAAAGTCAAGACAAGAAGATAAACCTCCATCACCTTTTTCATTAAGATCAGCTGAAAAGCTGCCATTTTTTGCTAAATTGTCAATAGAGTTGCATCTATTAGGCGTTTGAGGAGGTCTAGGTTGGGGAGATGAGCAGGCATCATTTAGGTTCCAATGATCATTTGAGATTTGATCTCCAACCCGATGGTTTAAGTAGATGTCTACGCTAGCAGAAGTCATTGCCACCTTTCTCTTGTTCTTTAACCTTCACCTAACAGGGTATGAGGGACAAATAACAAAGAAAAACACACTACTTGTACATTTCTTTTGTTGTAATGAAGAGTGTATTAAAGATTTAAGATACCTGTCTTTCTTCTTCTCTAAATATCTTTGCAAGGATGCTTTTCTGCTTGTTGAGCCTTCTAAAAGAGTTCAAGGAAAGAAAGAAAAGGAAGAAGATGAAGAAGAGAGAGTGAGACCTATCATAGTGGAAGAAAATGGAGCAATGTCATAATCACTAAATATCTGTGAGAATTTAATTTCTCCCTGCTTGTATCCAGTTTGTTCCTCTAGATGAAAAATGAGATATTATGAAGAAAATTAAGGACAAGATGAAGAAAAGGTTTGCCATCCTATTCACTCTTCAGCTCATTTCCTTCCCACCATTTTTTTTTTAAGTACCTCCAGCTGTTCAGTCATATTTGAATACAAATTCCAGAAAATAGATTGACAAGCCAAAAAGCATATCAGTTTAGTGAATTCAAAAGGTGTATTCTAAATTTACATGGGCTACCAAGTAGCTGAAAAGGAAACAGAACCAGTACCAGGTTCCATCCATAACTTTCAGAAACAGATTCAATAAATAAAAGAACCTTGCTGAGAAAATGAATAGAATCTACCTTGCTTAGACAACTGCTAAAAGACCCAAACATAAGAAATAAGCCCTAATATGTTTATATTTGGCATAGAATGGTATTAAACAGCGTGTATGGAAAGAAGAATCAACCCCCATGTTGGCATGATGAGATGGTGTTATAATCAACTTAAATGGAAATTAGGTAGGGAATCTAAGCTTCAATCACAATTAATTCACATAATAAGGCAAGATTATGATGAAAAGATGCTTAGTGCAGCAATATAAGAATAGAAGCATGTGAAAAAAGGCATCATGATGGACGTTTCCAATCAAACAAACAGGAATATTTCATGAGCTGATTAGTATAAGCATTTACCTAGGTTGTCTTCACGAGCTATGTTGCTTTCTTCCTGGGGAAGCCGACCATCATCCGCGCCTTTCACTTACAATAAAACCAAGACAACTAGTTAATAAAGCCTGCGCTTCTGGATGAAAATGTTTGCCATTTACCCAATAGTATCAAAACAAAGCTTTAATTTGTGCACATGTGTGGAGCCCTGAAATAAAAGTATGGAAATTAAACTGGACTTACATAGGGTTTGACTTGCAAAGATAACAGTAATCTATAGTATCCAAAAAAATACCTTAATCCTACTTGATAACCAACCTGTTGGCAGGTTTGGGAAGATCACCACAGTGGAATTTGGAGTTGCTTTGACACCTGGAGTTTCTAATTGACATGGAATAGGCCATAGTGCTGGAATTACGTTTGAAGAAGCTTCCTGAGGTGGAGCAAATGGGCTTGCAGCAAGATGCATTATTAATTGTGCCTGTAAACAATCACTTTAGAAAGCCACCGTAATTTATAGACATTGCCAGCATATACGGAAAAGAAAGAGCTTTCATCACCTTATCTCTCGGTACATGATCATAGACGTTTACCTTCCCACAGTAAAAAATTGTCATCTGTCCTGCTGATTCTTTTGCCGCCCCTGTAGTTCTGACATATTAAAAAGTTTTCTCAGCTTGCTGAACTTCAATTACTGGTTTACACAGCTACAAAGAGAGGTGTCATCCAAGAGATGGCCACGTTCCAGATGCATGACAAACTTATTTTCAAAACTTCAGATAGATCTCCGTTATTCATGTTTCCAATGTGCAACAGATACTTCAGTTACACTGATATGAAAGTGAACAATTCCGAAAAAATTCATGTGTGTGTATAAGTATGATAAGCCACCTAACATTACTTTAACAGTGCATAATAATTATTAACATGGAAATCCCTTCAACATACCACACAAGACAACTGAGAAGATCTTCTTAGTCCTAGACAGCACGGGCATTTTCTAAAAGATACATCATTACATCCATAAGCTAGATAATAAATACTCCTACAATGTTGGCAAAAATTTGTCTACAAATTATGTGCAGAAATAATGGCATATGCAGGCCTGCAGATTTTGTAAAAGAGTCAAATCCCTTGCTATTCCAATCAGAAATCAGAATATTCTCTAACTGATATCTCAAACTTCCACACCCCTTATCTTGTGGCAATCACACACATGTTAATTCAGCACCTCTGCTGAAATGGTTGTTAACAAGAACATGACATGCACAGAAGAAGATACCTTAAAAAATGGAAAAACTGATGAAGACGACACCAAGTTCCAATAATTTTCAAACATCAAACCAACTTGAATCATCACGCTTTCAGCTTTAGTTGAAACACAAACATCCATAACAACATTTTTCCTCTCGACTGTAATAAAAATGAAATAAAACATCCCACGCATAACCAAAAAGAAACAAGCAGAATCGGAGCCAGACAAGTCAATGGCTGAAACACTGTCTTTGACCGACCATCATGGTCCAGAATAATACATGCTCACCCACCCCCAAAAGCTATCACACACTATTCACATTTAGAGTCAAAAGTGCACGCCTTGAAATCACCAACTTGACCAACAAAATCAAAACCAAGTTCACCTACAATAAGGATTAAAAAATTTATTTCGTACTGATACAAAGGCTGTCTTATGCATGTCTAGCATATGCAAAACAAGGAACAACCTTGGAGAAACGGAATCATTTTCGGTGGCAGCGACAAACACCGGAGGCGGAGGATCAGTGGGAACAACGGGATTCGGGGGATCGGGTTGCCGGGACGGTACTAACTCCTCAGCTGACACCAAGATCGGTGCATCGGCACTTTCTCCACTCGCCGAGACAGAGGAATTTGCAGGGGCCTACAAATACATATTATATATTGTAATTAAAATTAAAACTACATTAAAAAAAAAGATAAAATAAAGGTGTCTTTAACTTTTCATTTATAAACTAATGAAATAAAAAAAGGAAGGGTTTGACGGTAGAGAAACGCACACGCGGAGGGTTATCAGGAGGGGGAATGTAGAGTCGTCGCCTTGGAGATTCTGTCTCCGGCGTCGTTTCTAGGAGTGTCTTGAGTGAAATCACTTGCTGTATTGCCTGCGATTTGTTCCACGACGGCCTTCTCATACCTATTTTTTGTACGGTCACCACCACCAACAACAGAGATTAAAAAGACATGAAACGCAAAAACCATGACTCTCTCTACTACTATATTTAAGCTAGAAAGACCTTTTTCTTTGAGGTAACGGCGGCAATCTTCGCGAGTGAGCTGAGAAATGTCATCTTCGGTTAGTTGGTGAAGGGGTTTTTCTAGAGCTGACCGGGAAACTGTCTCTCCCGGTTGCATGTTGCTTGGTTTCTGGTCCGGTGATCGGTTACCGGAGCTTGCAGGGATGGAGAATTTAACGAGATTTTACACTTTTGAGTGGCATTTTGGTGAATCTGTTGTACTTTTAAGGGTGAAAAAGGTTAAAGGGGGGAATGGGCAGGAGAGCGAGAGAGTGCGTGGAGGTTGAGGAGAGGGGGGTCCGTTTGGTCTCGCGGCATCTCACCCTTCCAGCTTTATTTTTAAAGGAGATTTTAATTTTAATTTTAATTTGATTTAATTTATCATTTATTCGTGTGATGGATGGTACTGCAACCCCAGGTCGCCACGTAATATGGTAAGCCTTTTTAACATTGCCCCCACCCATTGCATGCTTACGGCAGTAAAATGTTCCTTTCACTATACTCCGACCATATTTGTTTTTGCGGAAATCTATGATGAATCTTTAATTCATTAAAATTAAAGGGGGAATTATTTTTTATCCACGCACTACGTATTGCTTCTTCTTTTTTCCTTTCCTTTTTTTTTTTAAATTTTTTGTTATTAATTTTATTTTCAATTTTATTTTTATCTATTCTATTTTTTAATATTATAATAATTACAAATTAAATTTTATAATTTATTTATTTTTATTGTATCTTCTTATATGTTTAAAATGATTTACAGGCTTATTATAATAATTTAAGTTATCTTAATTTACAAGTTTGGTAGATTGTATTTTTTTAATATAACTTGATTTTGTTATTGTTTATTTTTTTTATACAATTAAAAAAATAATTTAAAAAAATCATATTATTAAACCTTATAAAATTCATGAACATGTTTAATTGGCTGACATGATTATGAGTTTAATTGTTTTTTTCAATTTCATCTATAGATATTAGGTTAATCGAGAATTTAGTTTCATAATTAGTTTTGTTTTGCTTTCTGTAAAGTTATCACAATTTTAAAATATATCTCAATATTGGATTGATGTTTGATTTTTCGATCATTTATTTCTAATATTATATAGTTAAATAAAAAATAGTTTCTTAAAAAATAAAATATGATTCCAATGAAGTCTATAACCTGATTCATGAGTTTGGTGTCCTAACCTAAGTTACCCGATTTACAAGTTTGATGGGTTTATCCATCGACTGAATATGTTTTTATTTTTATTTTTTATAAATATTATTTTTAAAAATTAATTTTTTAGTGTTAAATTGATTAAAAAATAGATTGAATAATTTATTTTTGTTTATTTTTTAAAGTATTATCATAGTCTTAGATAAATATATATTTTATGATTGATATTTATTTTTATTATATTAAAAAATAAAATAGAGTTTATAAAAAAAGTTATTAGACATAATAAAGACTATGCCTTAATTCACTAATTTGATGTCCTTGCCTAGATTATTTAATTCACAAGTTTGATGGCTTTACCTATCAATTGGATATGCATTTTTTGTTTTTAATTTTTAATTTTTTTAATTTTTTTTTATTTCATCATTTAATATTGGATCGATTAGGAAATAAAATACATGATTTATTTTTTTATAAAATTATCATAACCTCAAATAAATGTATATTTTAAGGTTGATATTCAATTTTACACATATTTGTTTTTATTATATAATTAAATAAAAAAGATTTTATAAAAAAGGTTATTAAATTTAATAGAAAACATGACCCCATTCACGAATTTGACATCTCAACCTAGGTCACCTGATTTATAAGTTTGACAGGGTTTACCCATTGACTAGATATGTATTTTTTGTTTTTTACCTTTTATTTTTTTTATTTTTTATTTCATCCTTCAATATTATATTAGATAGAAAATAAAATACATGGTTTATTTTTGTTTGTTTTTTATAAGGTTATCATATCCTCAAATAAATCAAATTAAAAATTACTTTTCTATCAATTAAGCACGCTTGATTAATTTCTTTAAAAGATGCTGATTACCAAGGGAGTAATGAATAATGGTGTTTAGAAGGTAAATTTATTTTTTCTTAAAAAAAATACATGATAAATTTAAGTGTTTTTCTAGATCAAACCTCGGTAGCAATGTCCCATAGCTTGCAATAACATTTAAAGATTTTAGTGGCCCGACATAAGGAATTAAAGGTCGTGTTAGAGCGAGAAACAAACAAGTTCGATCACAAGTCCGTTTCCCAAAATATACAATAGCCCAAGACACATTTAAAATTGATGCAGGTTAAATATTTTTATAAATAAAAAAATTATATATATATATATAGTTTTTTTATATAAAATTAAATAAATAAAAATTATATGTATTAATAAAGAAAAAACCATAACTAATAACTAAAAATAATAATTAAAAGATAATATATTTAATCTTGAAAGTCGAGATATTTACTTAATTGTATATTGTTAAATTTATTTATTAAAATAATTTTTTTATTTAAGTAAATGATAATAGAAATAAAGATAAAAATTAAGTTAATTGAATATATATATAAGGTGAAAAAAATAATATGCAAGACTACCCATATTAAAAGTATTATCTTAATTTTTTTCTAAAAATAAAGTTTATTTATATAAAAAATGAAAAAAAATACAAATGAATCAGAAAAACACTTTAAAATTTAAATACACAACAAAAAATAATTATTATTAAAAAAGACTTTTTAAACAAAATGAAAGAGAGAAAGAGGTATTAATCTAAATCTAAATAATAAAAAAATTAGAAATAAAAGCATTAATTAAAAAATAAAAAAATATTTAGAAAAAAAAAGGGTAAAGGTCAAGCACTGCTAGGTCTGTCAACCTGTTAGACCCACATGATTGAGCCTATTTTTTCTACAATTTTCGTCCACCCTTAACTTTTTTTAAAAATAGAATTAAATGATGCATTGTCTATTAGGATAAACAACACGTTGTCTGATTTACCTATTACACCACTGTGGTAGCTGAAAATTAAAATTTAAATTTTTTTATCCAAAAATTTATTTTTCAATCCATTCTTGACCTAAAACATTTTAGGAATTATGATAAACTTATTCATGGTCTCAAAAAAATCAAAAAACCATCCATAAACAAAAAATCAAAATGACTTTATATATGTTTTTTTCATGAACTTTAAAGATAAAAAAACATCTAATATAAATTAATTTCTCTTACCAGATTGAACCATTTTACATAAACATTGATCATTTTGGTAGTTTAAATCGGTGTCAATAATTTTTTTTTTATCTTCACCATTAGAATTTGCATGATCTCTCTCTCTCCTCTCTTGATCAAGAATTTAAAAATAAAAAAATAAATTTTTATACTAAAATGGAGACATCAAAATCATATAATTTATGTTATTTTTAAAGTTAAAGAATCAAAATGTAATTTTTTTGAAATTTTTAGCACGCCACTTATGTTAGATATCTTTTTTATTGCAGTCTCTATATTTACAATTCCACCCTTGACTAAAAAATTGGAAGTAATTAATCTTAAATTATGATCATCACCTGAAATAAAACTTTGAATATCAAAATGAATTATTAAAAATGAACAGGGCATCCACGGTGTTTTGTGTGTGCATGAGTAGTGATAGCTCCTGCAGTAAAAACCTCTCGCGTTCTAGATTATAGGTAATTTTGATCAAATCCAAACAAAGAAATTAAACAGATAAAAATCCAAAACCATAAAAAAACTCAAAATCAAGAAAGGTAAAATGCAAACCTGAAAGAAAATAAAGGGCCGAAATAACAAGCAATGTGCACCCATAAATCAAACAATAAAGGTTTGGTAAGTGAATATATATAGAGGATCAGGTAATGCTTTGAGTGCCTTGATTCGTTTCTTGATTCGGAGTAGTTTTGTCTCCAGTTGATTGCTTTGTTGAAGGTTGGCCTCCATTTCCTTGATCCTGTAGACATTTGCGACTTGAAGGTTGATTTAAGTCGTCACTTTTGGGAGAGGAATTAGTGTCCCTTTCAGCAGTAACCACCGCGTACCTACGTTGTGGCACCGTTGCCAATGTAGCCTTTATGAGATCAATGTACAATGGAAACTGTGCTATAGCAAAAAAGGTCACCGGCAGGCAAGTCACTCCATACAGCGGAAAAGCTGCGAACTTCAGTTCATCACTAAGCACGAAGAAATGCCCCGCACAAAAACATACCAGTATGGCAGCTATGGACACAAACAACGATGTTAAGCCAAGCAAAACTTTTGTTGGCAAATCTTCGCGAAAATCCTTGGCTTCGTACCTTGAAGTTAGTATTGCAAGAAACATGATCACGGAAGTGATTGAGAAGCAGAGAGCCACGAGAGATGAGATAGCAAATACTTTGAATGCAATCTGGTTTTCGAAGACTGGAGTGCCAGTTTTTTCCGCGTTTCCGCCAGGGACGTTGGCTGATGTTGCGAAGGCGACAGTGGCAATGAGGGCTGCCACCACTGAGCAGGATTGGGATGTGTTGGTTAGCCACGCGCCTCCACTTCTAACAAGTTCTTGGTGTGACTTGTTGAATATTTCCTTCGGGGTCTCGCTTCTATCGTTAAGGCGACGAAAAAAGTTTTGTGGCATGGAATTCTTAACATACTGCAAGCAAAGGGCATAAACTAGAGAGTTTAATGCTATTTAAAATGAATTTATTCTCTGAAAACAAAAGCAATTTGATTGGTTGATGCATTAGTGGATCATACTGTAGTTGGGTGAAATTCGCGTAACAGAAAGTGGGTCAATTCATGAGCGTGTTCATGTCTTTATATATATATATATATATATATATATATATATATATACATGCTTGTGTCATACCTTATACCATTTGATTTCCCATTGCAATTGTAAAGCAGCTCCTGGAATGCGCCAAGGCTTATAATCTCCAATCGTGGCAGCTGCAAGATGCCTTGCGCTATTTCCATGGTCATCAACCTGGAGAAAGATCCTGTCTAGTTCCTCGTTTTTCTTCCTTTTCTTTAGCAAAAACTGATAAACATGCGGTTGCCTATATTGCACTGCCAACAGCACCACATTCTTCTTATGCGTGTCTATGTCGTGAATCGCGTGAGGAAAATCATGTAAGATTTTCTCCATGATTTCAGTGATGCCATTCCTTGCCGCCATTAATAGGGGTGTCTCTGGCTTTTCCAGTTTAGAAGTAAATGCGGGCTCCCCTGATGATATCAGTGACAGCGCAAGGTTATAGCTCTTTAATATTAACCTGATTCAACATTGTTTCATTCAAGAGCTAATAGTCTTTCATTTTTTATCTACTAAGATCCATATATCATATATGAAGGATAAAATGTAACCTTTCCCACTGCCTCCAAGCTGATTAATTGCATCGGAGTCGGAAAACGCAGACCGTAGCTTGGGGCGGCTCCCTCCACTTATCTCACTGCTCTCGTACTTGTACAACTTATCCTCTCGAAGAAGCTCGTTCAGTACCTGAACAGACCATGTGTGCTTCTTTTTCTTCAGTTGTAACTTTCTCATCTCCATTGATCCTTGAAAATGCAAGAACATGATTGACTAGTACTAGTTTCTCACACGTAATCAATATGGTATCATTTGTACTCATGAAATGATGGAGAGAACCATACCTAATCCAAGAATGACCAACATTGCTTTCGATCCAAGCTTCAATAATTCAACGATAGTATCATAATTTGGAGGAACTAATCTGCCTTCTCTAGATGATTGATCTGCACAATACATTTATTAATTTCCCACGACCACGTACACACACACACACATTCTAGAAATTAGTGGGGGGATTATATACCCCTGATCAGGGGTGTAATTAGAAATTTAAAAGCAGGCGTACTGATATTACAAGAAAGTAGAATAACTGATAATTAATTTGGTCTCACTCCAAAAATTGCGATAATTAATTGGGAAACCTGTCAATATATGTCCTTATATATTATACCACTCATCAATATACCCTTATCAGAATCAATCAGTTATAACCATTACTTTGTTTGTATTCTTTAGTATGCCTTTTCAACAATTATTTCAGTTAACATTAAAGGTCAAGCACTCAACATATGATAGTTTATAACCATTACTTTGTCTGTATTCTTTAATATGCCTTTTCAACAATTATTTCAGTTAATTAAAGGTAAAGCACTCAAGCACTCAACATATGATAGTTTATATGCATGTTAAAAGTATTTTTGAAAAAAATTATATTTTTTAATTTTTTTGCTATTTTTTTTTAATATCGATAACACGAACCATTTTATCAATATAGATTTGGGCCCTCAAATTTTTGAGAAATTTTATTTTGGTCCCCATAGTCCTTGTTCTAGAGTTTTCTAGCCCTTGTACTTTGTTTTGTAAATGCAATTTAGAATTTAAATGATTCCATTTCAATTAAGTCACTACATGTCAAATTGAAGAATATGATTGAGAAATGATGTAATATAACTAATTATATATAAAAGATTAATTCTCCTAATTATTTCTTCAAATGATGAAGAATTGGGTTTTGAAATAAATAGCTAGCTTCTACTTTAATACACACGCATGTAGCGTTAAGTATACAATTGGTACAAGAAGATGCTTTTACGTGCTTACCTGCTCCCAAAACTTTCTTCAGCCACGAACTTAAATTCTTGATTGGAGACAGGGAATTGTTAGTATCATGGGATGCCTGAGATGTAGTTGGCAGGAGTTCTCCTTGATTCACTTGTTGTATACCTAAAATTTGTTTACAACATTTAAGAGCAAATCGATGTCAAATAATGTCGCAATGTATGGATAAATTCCTATTAATTCCTCCTCCCCTTAGCCCTTCCCATTGTGTAACAAAAAGGGGAAACAAGAAGATGAAATATGGGCAAAACTATGGTTCAATATTCCATTTTTGTTTTAGATTGGATTTAACCCATGGTTGGTCTTTCAAATCTTTCATCGGTTTTGTTTTTCAATTTAGGCTTTGATTTTTTATTTTTACTTATAAGACTATTATATATTATTTTATTCTGGATAAGTTTATAACTAAGTGCATGTCTGATGTTGTCATACAAAGTATTTTTTAAAAGTGTATTTTATTTGAAAATGCATTAAAATATATTTTTTTACATTAACACAATAAAATATCAAAAAATATTTTAAAAAATCAAATCAAACATGTTTTTTAAACACACTCAAACACAAGTAAAAACACAATATCAAACAAGAACTAAAATTAACTAATTACATGTGTTCAGTGTTCTAGGTAAAATTTTGAATGAAAGTGTCATTCAATAGTTATTAACAAATTTCTAAAAGAAAAGGTAACACATTAACAAAAATAAATATATAAAGGAAATATCAGTAATAGCAAAATAACTAGATGAGGTACCCGCGCATTGTCGTAGGATCTTATTAATGTTTTTTTTTTTTGTAATATTCTAACTTGTAACCTGGCTAAGAGGATGGCATTTTTTCTTGTAATTTTCTAAGTTGTAACCTGACTAAGAACATGTTAAAGTGTAAAGAATGGTGCGTGCATATAAATAACAGTTTAAAACAAAACTTAACTAATTTTGAATTTAATAGTAGGGAGAGGCTACATACATAACTTATGCACAAACAATGAAAAGTGTATGACAGAATCAAAATAGCCATGCACCGTTGTTTCTATGAGTTTTTTAAATGTCATGAAGTAAACCAAAAAAGTTGGAGCATGACAAGTAGTAACAGAAGGTGGAACATAACTAGTATCTATGGTTTAACAACCCATGTAAAAAAAATAACATGCAAGATCGAAGTTTTTAAATGCAAGAGATACTGGAAAGTATATGAGTATGTAAGTAGACAATAATAAAAAAGAGGTGTTACAGCAAAATAAGCTTTATGGGAAGGCAAATGAAAAATTATAAAGATGGAAAGGAAAATTATTTTTTTAAAAAAGGTTAAGTCATAAGCTCTTAATGTCTAGAAAAGTAAGCAAAGTTGAGCAAAGTTAGAGCACATTATGGTTAACAATAATTTGTGTGCAAATTAAAAGAGAAGATTTACAAGAGTATCATAAAAAGCATAAACCATGAACCAATTAAAAAATGCAAATGAAAGAGTAATTCTTTGCAGTGATAAACAACAATATAAGGAAGATAATAAAGTTGAAAAAGAGATGAACCTAAGTGCTGGATGGCACCAAGTCTCGTTACCTTTTTTTGCATGAAGAGATTGTTCTTAAGTATTTGGAGCTAAATCTTGGATGTTGATTTCTTCATCGATAATAGGCTCATCAGTGTAAGATGCACCAACTTGGTTATAATAAAGCAAATCATAAACAACTTGGTGGAAAAAGGATTATGAATGCAATTGAGAAATCTTAAACAACATTCAAGAATTCAATGGTAACATAATGAAGTTATGTTTGAGTGTTTAAACCTATGTTATGCTCCCTAAGTCAGTAAATTCAAGTTTTCTTATAGTTTTAAGGATAAAGATATCACCAATACTTGATGATTCAGATGAGGGAGTTTCTAAAGAAAAAGTAGTTGTGATTGTTTTGTGGTATGCTTTTTACCAATGAGCATGAAGGGCGAGAATGCATATTAGTATCGTTGGTGTTACTATTGTTAAATATGTTTGTTGCAATTATTTTGCATCAATTGGTCTCAACTCTAAAAGCACCAAAATATTGCTGAAAAATCTAGTTTTTGTACAATTTAGCTATCATTAAAGGTGTGACAATGCTTGGGTTAGTAAATTGCTTATCGTAGATATAGTTGTGTGCAAACAACCTAAAGAAATTTTTGGCTATCTTACCAACCAACATGAAATCAATAACATATTCTTCATCAATAACAATGCAAGTGATTTTAAACCTTTGCATAGAAATAACAACAATACAAAATAGAATGCAAGAAAAAACTCAACAAACAAAAAGCAAATACACGTGTTTAAATGTAAGAGAAAAAATTCTAATTAAGGATGAAGACTGTAAATTCTATTCACTCCTGAATAAACAATATTAAAAACACCACATATAGAGAGGCATCAACCAACAAACATGTTAACATGGTATAATATGCAAGTATAGAAATAAGCATAATGAAAGCCTTGTACAATAGATATTTAAACAATTAATCACGCTGAAATATAAAAAAATGATAACAAAGGATTAATATTTTTCTAAAGAAAAGGGTGATGGCAATAAAAAGATAAATGTTAAAACAAAAATAACAATCAAAAGTGAGGAGAAAAATGAGATAGACTAAGTATTTCCATGCAAACGCAACTAACAAATCCTATCAACATAAATATATGGACTCCCCAACACCAATGATGGAAGATCAAACCAGAAAAGAGTAGTATTCAAGAAATCTTCCAATAAAACAAAAGCAACAACAACAAATAACACAAAATAGAACAAGAATAGTGCAACCCAAGTAAACAAAGAACATAACCCATATAACATAACAAAAAGACATCAATTATGGAGCAAATATGCAACTAATGGTAACATAGAAGAAACAAAATGTGGGCAACATGACAAGAAAAATAAAAATACTAGAACTAGAAGCACAAATGAAAAGTTGCAAAAAAAAAAACACTAAAATGGCCAGTGTGAAAAAATGCCCATAAAGCAACAAAAACTGAAAACAAAATAAAGGTCAAATGGCAATCAATTGTGATAACCAACACATCAAGCAATCCACATTTCAAAAGACACGAAGATAAAAGGGTGTCATCCCATCCAATAGTCACCTTGTAGCAAGCTAGGGACATAACCACCAATGCCCAAGAGACAAACATTTTCAACCCACCATCACTATACAAATTCAATTACCTCTGCGGCTCCCATTAAAATCATTATACATTAGAAAAAATATCATGCAATCCACTATTACAATCCACAGTGGATTGTATCTTTGTGCATAGTAATTTTAATAGCAACTTTAGTTTTTTTTTTGTTCAAGCAATTCACATGTCAAAAGACACGAAAACAAAAAGGTATCATTACATTCAACAATCACCTCGTAGCAAGCTATGGACAGAGCCACCAAAGCCTAAGAAAAAACCAAATATTTTAAACTCATCATCATAGCACATATTCAATTACATTTGTAGCTATCATTGAAATCATTATCCATCAGAAAAAGTGTCATATAATCCATTGTTATAATATATAGTGGATTGTATTCGTGTGCATAGTAATTTTAATAGCAATTTTAGTATTTTTTTTATTAACACAAGATTTGGAATAAAATAAATGATATATAAAAGTATAATTGTACTAAAAACATTTCTTTTTTTTATGATTCTTATGGGTATCTATTAAAAAAACACAATTGAATTTCATGCATTTATTTAGGGTTATTTGGTATTGAGCTTAAACCTGTTTTACTTCAAAATTTAATTTTTCTTTGTTCAAATTAGTATTTTTAGTGTTTTTTAGATCATTTTGATACGCTGATAAAAATACATTTTAAAAAATAAAAAGATATTATTTTAATGTATTTCCAAGCAAAAAATACTTTAAAAATTATTTTTTACCACACTCTCAAACACCTTAAAAATAAATAAGCTTAAAACTCGTGTAAAAATTGTGCGGAGTTCGAATTCATTTAAAGGGAGTGTCATAAATGAAAAATCATAAATTATATACCCACACATATACGTACCTGTTGTGCAAATAAAAGCCCTGTACATTGATGTAAAGAAGTGAAAACATGTCTCATAGTTGTCTGGACAATGATTATTGTTCCTGTTGTGGGATGGCTGATCTGTAGAGCTAGATTGCTCTCTATATCCTTTGTCCTTATCTTTTTTCTTCTTTAGTTGATCAACAATTGTACCTTTCAAAACATAATTGCACAGTAAAACTTTTTTTTTTCCTAATATCCTAAAAGAGTTTGATCATTTTCTTAAAATGGATAGCAGCTTACTAAGAGCTAATGTATGTTTCCAGAAAGTGAGCATATATATGAAATTCAAACCTTAAATTTATACTTACAGTAGTATATGATGTTGTAGTAAGGATAAAGGTGGAAGCCACTTTTGAAGGCCATATGTCTACTTGCTAAACAATGGAGTGGAGATATTCCTCTTTCATTTACCAAGTTAACAAGTTCTGAATCCAAATGAATTATTTGGAATGCTAGATCTGCACATCAATTTTAATTAAGATTTCGATATGAATCATGTTATTGTATAAAAAATTCATATATGTATGTATGCATGTATATTCACAGAAGAATTTCTACCTTTATATTATTATTATTATGGTATAGTAAGTATTAAATTGGTGTCCCATGCAACACACGGTCTGGACCAATTTTTTAACCTAAAAAAAAGAGGAATAATTATTTTAACTACAAAACACCTTACAAACACCAAAAAACCAACCTATCAACCCATTAAACCAAAAAAACAGTCCAAAACACTAAATCAAACAGGAAAAAATATTGCATCCTTGACATAAATCTGATTTTTTAGGCTACATTAAAGTTTAAAACAACCATCATAAGATTACTCTCACCTAAAGAAACCCGTTGACACCAATTTTAAAATGTTTGGTGGTCGAAATTGCCACTAATGAAGAGCTTTTTTTCTCTTCGCTAAAATTTAGCGACTTCTCTCTCTTCTCCCATAAAAAATAAACTGAAAAATCTATAATAAAAAAAATTTGACACAAATATTTTTTTTAAAAAATAAAGTTAAGGACCGATCACCTTCTAACAAAAAAAGTTAAGAGACTAAAATGTACTTTACAAATAAAGTTGAAAGCTCTATCTATATTACCCTTGTTTTTTCACTTTAGTCCGTTATCTTTTAATTTAACCTTCCTTGAAAAAAATATGTAATTGGGTGCTAATTTTAGCTTAATTGTAAAGAGAAAAAGTTTGATGATAAAATTAAAAAAAAATAAAAAATCAATACTTGAAGCTCTAATTTATAGTGATTTATGAGAGCATAAACAATAATTTTATGCACAGTTAAAAACATATAAGCTTTAATTTTTGTTAATATCCAAATATTCTCACCGAAATATTCTCCAGAGATGGCGACGTGGAGAATGGTATCGCCCTTATTCCCTCTGTAATATGATTTGCGGTATCTGGGAAGAACATAACCGTGTAAACATAGAAAGGCATCTGTTTTACCCATGACAGCAGCCAAGAACAATGGGGTCTCATTTTCCTTGTTACGTTCGCTTAATATGTCATACCCGGCTTCTATCTTCTCTGATGACTCGTTTCCTGATGAATTCCGAAAATCCTCGTCCGAATAAATTTTACGAGCAAGGCAATCACACAACGAGGCGTTCCCCACAAAAGCAGCCAGATGGAGAGGTGTATATCCCCGTTCATTTTTTACTCGTAGAGCCTTAGCGGCTTCTTTCAAGGACATTAGGCTTACTAGTTGCTCCACTGTTGTTTCTTTGCCACCAATAACTGCTATGTGTAACGCCGTGTCGCCTGAATTGGTGATTTTTGCACAGTGAGCTACTGATTTTCTTGTATAGATCTCAGTCACTTCGTCCCAGCCATCGCTCATGGCATATACAAACAAGCTCGATCTGGTGGTCTCCTCTAGATAAAGATCCATGAGGCTCGTCTTTACCTCTACGGTTTTAGATTCTTCAGGCGTTGTCTTCTGATTTTCCTGCCACAACCAGAATTAATGCTTACAGAAGCTGAGTTTCAAACTATTTTCACGGTATGGCAAAAAAAGGTACAACTTTGTTTTCTTTATCAAAATTGTGTTTATATATATAGACACACATAAATACATAAATACATTCGTATGTTGTAATATCGGCTCTGCATTAGACTCCACCGATTATTAAAAAAACTGAAAAATAAATATTTACGCTGTGAATAATGATTGTGCTATATATGTCATGGGTAATGAAATTCTCTCTTAAAAGGCTTAACTCCCACTATCACGTTAAAAAATAAAGATTCGAAGTATAAAAAATAAAAAAATATTTTATTTCAAATAAAAAGTATAAAGAAAAAGAAGTAAAAACTAAAAAAATAAAGTTAAAGAGAAAAATTGTAATAAAGATGCCATGTATGAAATGATAAAAATATCAATTATAATGAGGAATTAAAATTTATAAAAAAACTTGTTTTTTATAAAAAAATTAAAAATTAAAATTTCACCACGGCAATAGTAAGTAAAATCCTTGCAAAATTTACAATTATAAACGAAAACACCATTTTTTGTTATATGTATAATTATCATTTCTATTCGTATCTTTAACTTTATTTTTCTAAACCGCTTGAGAACACGCGAATATAAAAAGACTATCCAGGTAGACGCCAATGCGATCTCCCGAGCCAACAAAAATAACCCGAGAGATCCACTGGGCTAAGGCACCCACAAAGGCCCCTACATGTTTTCTTTGCCCTTGAATGTAAAATACTTGGGGTCTTGGATACCGAAGCGAGAAGGAGATTTTGAGAAAACGGTTTAAATTATAAATTAAAAAAATTAAATTTTTTTTGTATAAAATTATTTTTTATATAAATATTTTTATATTATTTTAATGTGATAATATTAAAAATAATTTTTTAAAAATAAAATAAATATTATTTCAATATATTTTTAAATAAAAATTACTTTGAATACACCACTCAATTACTATAATTTCCATGAGATTGTCCTTCGAGGTGCCTGGATGTGTTGTGAGTTATACCATTGCTACTCTACAATGAATAAAAAAGCCTCTATTTTTCTATATCGATGCTCTGCCTGTTTGCTCTGTAGGCCTCGAAGGTCTGTGCAAGTCATGTAGGGACCAAAAGTTTGAAAATTTAAAGCATGAAAAGAACCCAACTACGATCCTAAATTGTTTGAAGATTTAAATTAATGTGCCATTTATTTATATAGTATTATTAGTAAAGGAAAAAAAAGTATTGAACTATTAAATTAATACGTGACAGTGTAGGAGCAAGCAATTACCTTGTCTGAGTAAGTCTTCAACATCTCCCAAAAATCGTGTGCCGTTGCTTCTACTTCCACCATATGTGGCTCTCTGAGTACTTCTCCAATCAGTTCTCCAATCAGTTCCATGTTCGGCTTGTCCGCGTAACGCTTCTGTTAAGAAAAAATAAAATAAAAAATGCTGCACTTATTACTTGACGAGGTTGTATGCGGGAGTATAGAGAGAAAGAGAGAGCAGCACTGGTACTGGTAGAGAGTTTTAGAAACTAAAACGATGAGAGGGATTCAATTAAGAACATTTCCACGTAAGTTGGATGCTTTCGGGGACATTACCTTATCGAATTTTTTTGATATGCGAGTAATTTTCTCAGTGGAGTCGTCAGAAGCAAACACTTTGGCCATTATCTCCACGCCAACTGCTTGATGAATTAACATCCAGGCTTTTGCGTTCTTGTTCTGAGCTTCACGATATTCATCTTTCTCACTATTTTTCCATTTTGCGAGTTCACAGTTATCTTTAGGTCGCTCATACCCCGATAGCACTATATCCCACAATTGCTGTGAAGTTAATACATCTACCATCTTCTTGCTCCATGCTTCATAGTTCCCCACTTCGAAAACAGGTAGATAAACCGTCTTCTCATCTTCCACCTGAGGGGTTGGGTTTGAAGAAGATGGATGGATCATGTTTTATTTTCTGGCCAGGTATGGGTGTGTGTTCTCAAGTGGAAATGTAAATGGATTGTTTTGTGGTTCGAGTAAACCATGCAACGATGAATGCCTACAGAGTTAGAGAGTCAAGTGTTGAGATCAGGGACAACAGGGAGGCTATTTATAGACGAATGGAGGAAGCTTATTCTCTAAATTAACAAAACAATATAATTACATGAATAAGATTTTTCATGCTCGACTAATATAGTATGGATTAGGCAAATCATAGCAACCACTCACTATTGTTATTATTCTCCTCACTAGTAATCATGAGAAGTGAATTTTAATATTAGCTGTTTGTTTGTAAATTATTTTATCTTCCAAGAAGTTAATTTCCCTCCAGCTAACTAGGTGGCCGAATCTCTTTAATTTGTCAGAAAAAAGCACCATCATATATATACTTGCATGAGGGCTTCAAGTTTCCTAAACTTCCTCCCGTGAATCGCTTTTCGATCTCAAGGTTAATTTCCAACAGCAGTAGTATAACTCAAGTCCCTAGCTTTTCCAAAATAGACCAATGAGGTGTGCTCAAAGGGATATTTCGCTTTTCTAAAAGAAAGCAAATAATATATATATGAGATCCCTGGCTTTTACTGTTACATAACTGGTTCTAACCCATTAGTACGTGTTGTTCCCCCCTTTTTTTATTCAAAGGAGACAGAGAGCTTTCACTTTCTTGTTGTTTCCCCTTTGTATGTTCCTTCAGATGAAATTCTCTGTGACGATAGAAATTTAATTGTTAAATAATTGTTGGGAAATTTACTCTTGTTACAACTCTTAAAAGAGAAAAGTCGAGAAACAAACTAAATAATTTAACCCCAATTTATATATATATATATATAGTCTGTTTAAGGTGTCCTGTGTCAGCTTTATGTAATCAGAGCAGTGGAGGAAAACAAAAACCTAGTTAGTTAAGAAGTTTCAAAGGAAACAAGGAGGGTCCAACATTGAAGAAAAGGTTACAAGTTGTCCAACTGCAAATAGGCGCACTGTGTCTGTCATATAAACATCAAAAGCCAAATCACAAAAGCATCAAGATGACGAAAATTACAACTGGGAAAAGAAAAGGGCATACACGTCAGGGAACCGAAGATAAGGGCGAAATGAGAAGCAAAGCATTTGTAGCTAGGCAACCACCATATAGCTACGCTGTGGCACCTTCTTAAAGGTTGCCCATGTAAGATCAAAATACAAGGGAAACTGTGCCACGGCGAAGAAAGTCACTGGCAGGCAAGTCACTGCATATACCGGAAATGCTGCATACTTGAGTTCATCTCTGAGCACAAAGAAATGTCCCGTACAAAATGATACCAATATAGAAGCTATGGATATAAACAGTGATGTTAGTCCAACCAAAAGCTTCCTCGGCAAATCTTGGCCAAAATCCCTCTCTTGGTATCGAGAAGTTAGTATTGCAAGAAACATGACCACGGACGTGACTGAGAAACATAGAGCAATGAGAGAAGAGATAGCAAACATTTTGAATGCGGGTTGATATTCAAGAATTGGACTTCCAGTCATCTCATTGACACCACCTGGGACGGTGGATGATGTTGCGAAGGCTACCGTGGCAATCAGTGCAGCTACCACGGAGCACGATTCAGAAGTGTTAGTTAGCCATTCACCACCATTTTTCACAAGGTCTTTGTGGGTCTCGGTGAATATGTCTCTCGGGGTCTTCCCTTCCTTGTTGTAACGAACAAAGAAGTTGGGTGGCATCGAGTTCTTGACAAACTGCATTATATTATTATCAATTAAAATAGATAAAATCCTTGAAAATGTCAATTCATCATATTATCTGGATAAACAATGTGCAGTTACACATCATACCTCGAACCACTTGATCTCCCATTGCATCTGTAAAGCAGCACCTGGAATGCTCCAAGGCTTAAAGTCTCCCAGTGTGGCAGCAAGGTGTAACGCACTATTCCCCTTGCTGTCTACTTGCCGGAAGATGCTTTCTTTCACAGTATTTATCTTCAGCGAGAGCAAGAACTGATATACATGTGGTTGCCTGTTTTCCACAGACAACAGAACAATGTTCTTCTTCTCCCCGTTCACGTCGTTTATTGCCACAGGAAACTTTTCTATGATTTTCTCCACCATTTCTACAACGCCATTCTTTGCCGCAATTAATATGGGTGTCTCCCTAATTTCCATTGCAGGGGCTTCGGGCTTCTTTGTTGTCATTAACACTATATTCCTTTTGTCCAAGTCCATGTCTCCTACTTGAGAAAGGTTTAGTATTTTCTCCAGCATTTCAGTGACACTATCCTTTTCTGCTATAAGTATCTGTATCTTCATCTTTCCTATTTCAGAAGTTTTTTCCTCCTTTCCTGCCAATGATTCAAGTTGCAATTTATGTATGGCCAAGATAAAGTGAATTTTATCAACTTCACAAAGATTTAAATTTGGGAGATTCAATTTGAAAGCAGGAGTCTGGACGTTTTTGAATAGGAAATTAAGAGCTGAAGTGCTCAAAACCAAAGCCTCCTAATGAACAGAGAGGGAAAAAAGGAGACAGTTATATGCAATACTTCAACATTTTGAAGCTAGTCATCTATATGGAGGAAGAAACCTTCATTGCATTACCATCATCATCCTTGTTTTTGATATCCTCTCCTGTGTTCACTTGGTCATTCTTTGTCATTTGCTGGGAGTTTTCCTGTAGCTCCTCCATACGTGGGTCCGTGACACGACCACCAAATCCAAGAGCATAAGGGTGCGTTTCATCAACTTTACTTGGCAGGGGATTACTCCCATCATTCTCATACTCATACATGACGGTTTTCTGAAGAAGTTCTCTCATTATCTGAACAGACCATGTATGTTTCTTCTTCTTCGCCTCTAACTTTGTTATCTCTGATGATCCTTGCAACATTAAAAATCAAAATCAAGGCTTTGCTTATCAAGTCATGTGCATATGAATTGATAACGGAGATGTCAATGAAGGTGAAGAAGTGCACCTGATCCAAGAATGACTAACATTGCCTTGGACACAAACTTGACAAATTCAAAGAAGGTATCATAATTAGAAGGCATTAATCTGCGTCCTCCAGCTCCAGTGGCTGATTGACAAATTCAAAGATGAATGTTGCAAACACCAAGACAATTGTAGAGTTAATCAGAGACTTATGGTTGTTCTGTTGTTTAACTACTTGCATGCAAAAATTTCCATAAAAACAAAGGTGAACATGTGTCTGTTTGTGGAACCTGTAAAAGATTCTGACATGATTATATACTAATTCTGGGTTCTGGACATGTTGTCAGTGAATATGTTTGACATTATATATATATATATAAATTTAATATTTGATTAATAAATCTAAAATATAGATAAAGTTCATGGAACAATAATGATTTACATAAAAATTATAAAATTATTATAATTATAGGATTTTTAATGCATCAAAACATTATTTCTTTTCAATGTTATATAAAAAATAGATATTAATTAGAGTTACTAAGATCAATTCATATTATATTTTTTTTAATAAAATTAAACAACTGCTCTTAATTATAAATTAAGATATGAAGGATATTTCAAACTAATATGCAAGTGTATGTTAGAAAATATGCATATTAAACTAACTTGCAAGAAAATTTCATATGAAAAGATTATTTATATCTATGAAAAGACTTATGTGATAATTATATATGTGTGATTTTTAGATTTGAGATCACTAGGTTATTTTATATAGAAAGTGTAATGTTTTGATTATGACTACATGTTATTTAAATTAAAGGTAACAAACAAATATGTATTGAGTATAACATAAACTATATGAAAATATTTGAGTAATTACAAGAGTATTCATTACCTAGGTGAATTAGAAAAAATGTTCTATTTGTTCTCAAATATTATTAATTATGTGATACTTAATCAATATGGAATAAGTTTTGAAAAAAAATTTAAAATCTTATTTAAATAATCAATGAGTATAATGTTGAGAACTAATATGATTTAATAAAGCAGACATACTATATGCTATAATATTTAAATTTGAATATTTATGATGAAGAGATAATAATTACATTAAAAAATTAGTTATTAAAAGATTAAATCAAACTACTTATTAATTTTTTAATATTTGAGGGATTATAATAGTGTTAAATATTGTTCTTGATTTTTGAATATAAATCAATCAATTGTTGATTAAATAATTTTTTAAAATTATCCTAAAATAATATGTGATGCTATTTAAAGACCAAATTGATATTTTACTATTTGAAGGATTTCTAAATTTTTCTATAAATAAAATATTATATCTTTTATATTTTATGTGAATAGTTGAAAAAATATAATACAAAAACACCTAAATATCTAATAAGATCTTTGGTACTTCTGAGAACAAAAATTAAATTTACTATTTTCGCAATATATGTGTGATTCGGAAACATAACATGTGTGAATTTTTGTTCAATTGTTAAACCCACTTAAACATATGAAATTGAATCCACTATGAGATAATCTTCTAAACCTTTACCACCTCACCTTGTTGGCTCTCTGTATCTCCTGTCTGGCGTTTTCTATCTTTATAAAACTTCGTTAGCACTGAAAAACAAACAAGGGTTTCATTACAGCTTGTAAGAGAACTTATTGCAAAAAATAAAAAATCTAAATACACAGAAACCTGCACTGGTGTTCTGTGCTAAAGAATGAAAATCCATATAATCTTTCACTAAAGAGTATAGTCTGAAATTACATTTGTATATGATTAGAATCATATAGCTGCGTTCTGAGCAGTCGACTAGTTTTCTCAATCAATTTGACAGTTTCGTTGACCATTCTGAAGTGAAAGAGATGACTTAAAATAAGATTCGCACCATATCATGTAATGCATGGGACAGGAGTTGAGAGAAACAATCAAATGATGAATAGATGCTCCCTCGCCAGACTTCAGTTGTTTAAGCCAATATAGAACCATGCATCTTAAGGGTGTGCACAACGAAATTACATGAATCTTGATATTTCATAGTCTACTGCTACTGATTCAAGGATGTCAGAAAGTTATATTACACTACATTAAAGTGGGAGGGGGAGAGAGAGAGAGAGAGAGAGTCCATCTTGCATACCCACTTGGACGGCTTTTTTCAGCAGCCAGAAGAAATTACAGCATGTTTCGTAATTCTTTGGATTTTTA